AGCAGGACATCAGCTCCCTGTCAGCGAGTGAGTGACAAGGGTTTTGCCCACCAGGTTATATTTGCTGAATGCACAGGCTGGTCTTTATGCAACACCAGCTTGGCGTGTTTTGAATGCTTCTGGAGAAGCGGATCCAGAATACTTGTGTAATGAACAAACACAGGCTTAAGGATCTAATCCAGGGATGGAGATGGTGACTGGCCATTTCCAACCAAACACTTCTCATGACCAGTCAGTAGGATCTCTGTTTCCCTGTCTGCATTCAAGTCAGCTGGAACACTTATCGTCATTCACATTTTAAGGTCAATGTAATGCAGAGAAATTTTCCCTAAAGGTTCAAAAAGTCACAGGTCAAACATTTGGGTTTGAATTTGCTTTCCCATCTGTTCTGGCTGTAGACTACAAATACTATGCTTGACTATTTTCTGTATGCCAAATGCTTAGCACAATGAGTATGTAATAAGTGCTCATTAAACAGGATTTTGTGTCTAAGAAATAACTCTGCTATATTTTCAGTAGTTTCTCAAATACCTGTATGTTCTATTCTTCCTGAATGTATCTATCCTTATCTGAATTACCTCTCTCATTGTATTTGACATGTGTATATCATCTTTCAGTCTTAACCAATTCCAACAGCCTGGGAAAGGTGTTTCTGGAAAAGATGTTTCTCGTTTACTTCTACATGCTGGGTGTCTAAAATGGTGACTTCAGCAGGCAAGTGGTTCATTATGGGGGTGAATTAGTTGGCCAACTGACCACATAGGTCAAATTTCTCATCCTAAGGCCTTTCATGTCCAAAACAAAAATACTGTGGAAGATAATGTCAAAGAAGAGGAAGTATTAGAACTTTCAAAAGATGGTAAAACTGCTATGTCCCTTTAGAACTGAACATGAAGGCATACTTTCTACAGTCCTGCCAGCCGTCAGAGCTCAGTGAGCAAACTGTGTGACAAGAATACATAAGTCCCACTTGCCCTTTGTGGTCTCTGAGAGACAGGTGACAATGGCAGTTGTGACAGTCTGTCCGCAGCCATGAGTTTTGTTCTAATTGGAGGTATTTCCCTAGCCTGGGCCTCACTTTGACTTCCTGGGTCAAGGACCCTACTGACTCATGAGCTACCATCCTTTGAAAAGAAACTGATGATATTTGCTTTCAAAGTGGATGAATTCGCTTTTTGAGGGGATAAAGTGGTGCCAGAAGCATCACTTTACCCGTCTTGTCATCTACTCTGAAGGAAGACTCACAATCAGAAGCCACTTGGCATCATGACGGACAGCAATTTGGCAGGGACCCACTAGGCCACATGGCACAGCTGGTGTGCAGACTATCCCACCTAGGTCTGTATAATTGCACCCTATGATGTTCACAGTATTACCCAAAGATGGATTTCTCAATGCACCCCTGTCGTGAAGCAACTTGTGACTGTGTAAGGTTAACACTTGCCTATCCTAGGCCTACATCTATGTGAAAGGACAAAATCCTGTAGCATCTTTGCAGTTTTTCAGCAGTTTTTATGCACCTTGGCAAGTTCTAACCCCGCTATCCCCTACAGTCTAACATTTGGCAAGCTACTGAACTTCTCTGAAACTCACTTTCTTTTTCCTGTGACTTTGTTGTCAACCTAGTTAATCTAGTGAACAGAGGCGCCTCACCATAGATCTGTACACATAAAATACATAATCATCACCATAGGCAATGAATAAATGAATTAACTTATATGCATTGCGAGTTTTCCTTTCTGATTAACGGAGTGATTTTCCTCAAATAGAGCATAGTAATGAAGTCCGGGTGCTGTAGCGAAAAACAGTCTTAGGGCGCCACCTACTGGTCATATTGCGACAAAGTCCTGGGGAAAACACCTGTCCAAGGAGTTTGCATGTTGTGTCCCAACACGTTTTAACGTAGGTATGGTAAAAATAAACTATTATATTATTAAGAAAACATAAGGGGAGTCAATAAATGTATTTGACATGTGTTGGATCAGAAAAAAATTGTAGTTCTGTTAGGGACACAACTGGACCCATACTAAAACCGAATATTTATAAGAGCTTTGTTAATTAGAAATTAATTTTATCTTTCCTTAAGAGATTTTTAGATGTCACCCTTCCTCAAAGAATAATGCCTTTTAAACACATATTTGGTGTACACAAAAGTTATGTTATAAAGTGCAATAATAAAATGAACATCATATTATAATATAATGAAGGGTGTTGTAATATAATATGATTAACCCACAAACCCCACCCCATGCAAAAATCTCCAAATGTCCTAAGTGTTAAAAAATAGTGGTGGTAATTGTATGTTCACATAGGATGCCAGTGAAGTGAAAATCCTCAGCCTCATGGAATACCATGAGTGCTAGAAGTGTGTGTGTGTGTGTGTGTGTACATATATATATATATATATATATATAATTTTTTATATAACAGTTTATTTTTACACCATTCTGTACATTTTTTTTCTTTCTCAATTGTAATCCCCACGGGTTTCCCATCACTGAGTCACCCATGTGCCATCACCATAATCCCGTGCACTTCCCTCTATATATACTTTTTTTTTAAGAAAGCATAATCTGGGCCCTCCCTGGAGGTATAACAGAGTAAAGCATTGTACTATGAAGCTAACTACAGCTGCTTCAGCTCAAGTTCAATCCATGGCCAGGGAGGTGACCCAAATGGCGAGCAGAACTTCCTGTCTCGTCTGCTGCTCCCCTCAGCAGTATACTTGGTCAGTCATCCTGTTCTCCTCCCCACTCTGTCTCTGGTGAATCTTCACATAGCCCCTGCACCTCTGGTCTGTACCTCAGTTCTGTCTGCATAAATAAATAAATCTTTAAAAAAAAAAAAGCATGATCTGAAGTTAGCATAGAATATACCATTTATATAAAGCTTGTGAATAAGAGAGTATTTATTTGCAAGAAAATAAAAATCGGGCCTCTCCCTGGTGGCACAAAGCACAGCACTATGAAGCTATCAGCAACCACTACGGCATGAGTTTGATTCCCAGCCAGGGAGGTGACCCACAAGGCACCGCAGACCTCTCCTGTCTTTGTCTCACCCACTGCTCTTCTCAGCAGTGTATTTCAGTAGATTCAGTAGCCTCCCATCCCCTGCACCTCTGGCCTGTACCCCAGATCTTGTATGTGTAAGTAAGTAAAACTTAAAAAAAAAAAAAAGGAAGGAAGGAAATTCTGACACATGCTACAATGTAGATAAAACTTAAGGATATTATGCTAAGTGAAGTAAGCCAGCCACAAAGTGACAAATACTGTATTATTCCACTTATATGGGATAATTCTACTGACATGGTCAAATTCACAGAAACAGGAAGGAAGTAGAATGGTGGTTACTGAGGGGCTTGGAAGGGAGAAGGGAACTGTTGTTAAGTGGCTATAGAGTTCAGATTTGCAAGGTGAAAAAGTTCTGGGGGATCTGAGTATATCACAGCAGTGTGATATACTCAAACTACTGAGTTATACATTTAAACATGGTGAAGAAGATCCCTTTTATGTTATGTGGATTTTTTCCCCACAATTAAAAATAAATAAAAGAATAGTAGACCCAAGAATAATGGCAAGGTAACTGTTCATGGGGGTTTAATGTCTGCAAGTTAGTAACCTAATCAGGAGAAAGAGCTGGCAGAATCTTAGTAGCCACTTCCAAGATTGGAAAGTTAAATGAGTTAATGTATATGCAGTTCCTGGCATATAACCGTCAGTCAAAACATGTATAGTTGGAAAAATAGTGACAAAGAACAAAAATGATATTTGGCAACACGGTTAGTGTAATTTCATTCATATTAAAACAAAAACAAAAACAAAACAGCCAGAACTCAGTTACTTATTCACCCTCATACATCTAAGATGTGGTGGAAAGAGAATTCCAGCCTAAACAGACTGGCTCCAGGGCTCTCATCTCGGAAGGCAGAGTTTGAGCAAGTTCTTCACCAAGTCTCATTATGCGTGAATGATGTAAACATATTTAAACAAGGTGGGAAAAATATACTTGAAACTAACAGAATTTTCCTGGAACAAATATTTTGGGATTTGGGTTGTATGCACATGTCAGCAGAGAGAAAGCCCAGGAGGAGGCACCCGCCAGAGAGACAGGCTATGAAATATAATTCTGTGAAATGCAGGCAGCCTCTGGTGTGCTCAATGCTGGGCTTCAGCTGAGACACTGGGCGGGGGTGGGGTGGGGTGGGGGGAGACTGCTAAAAGCGCTACAGACCAGGAATAATATGAGCTAGTCAGTACTTTGGGAAGAGGAATCTGTCAGTGGCTCAGAGAAAATATTGGGTGGTGAGGAGCTTGGGAGAAGAGTTAGGTGAAGAAGGGATCAGTGTAATCTGAGTTCATGGAGTCTTGGTCTAAAGCAAAATATTAAACAAGCCAGAAAAATCAAAGTACAAATGATAATATGGGGATATACTTATGGGCCAGGTGTTGATGTAGTAGGCATAGATACTTGTGACATGCGTTATATGTATAATTCATCTAATTTTCACAACAGCTCTTATAAAAATGAGTTGTTGTTATCCCATTTTCCAGAAGAGAAAACTGAGGCTCCGAGCAGTTCAGTTAGTTGCTCACCGTTGTACATCTAAGAAGTGGTGGAAAGAGAATCCCAGCCTAAACAGCCTGGCTCCAGGGCTCTCATCTATAAGGTGAAAGTTTGAGCAAGTTCTTCACCAAAAACTACACTCAGCTTGCAAGAACAAGTCCAAGTTGTTCACCTGTATGGTGTTGAGGTTCAGAGGGCAAAGGGCCACAGGGAAGATACTACAGATGTCAGGGTCAGCAGTTCTTTGGCTAGCCTGGGGGGTGGGAGAGTTGGGCAGGATTCATCCCTTTTCAGAATCTTAAATTGGGTGAAACTGTCTGGTGAAGGAGAGCGTTCAATTTTTAATAATGAACCTAAAGAATGTATGCAGGCGTTGATTTATAATGATGTACACCTGAAATCTATGTTATAAACCAATGGTACTTCAATAAATTTTAATCTCATAAAAGAATGGGCCTTTTTTAATAGGAAAAATATACACGCACACAAATATAACATTGCACACAATTTCAGCAGGTTCAAGAACTCCACTTAAGTCTTGCCCTAAATATGCTATTTAAACAACTCAATAACAAATATTTCTATAGTAGAAATTTTATTTCCATTCATAAAATATATCACTAAATAGCTGAAAAATTACATATTATTTTAAAACATAGATTTAAAAAAATCATATTAGCTTTTCCTTAGCAAAATGCCTTTGTTTTATGTATTTACAAGAAAATACTAGACTTCAGATACACAATTTTCACTCAAGCTGGCCAGAGTAGGCCTTTAGATGTAGGTAGATGCTCCAATAAAGTTATTTATCAGTTCTTCCGGCCTTATGCAAAGGATGATTGGATTTTACAAAAGTCCCTTTGAAAACAAGAGTAAATACAGAGAGCTTCTAGAGAAAAGTCCAGCAAAGCAGTAGTTGAGAATATATTTTCTTCTCATGACGAAATTAATCTTGTTTTGGTAATCTACAGCCTGTTTATGGTGGCAAGGGGGGTGCAGTCCTTAAGACTGAGTTGTTTCCCTATGAATCCTCAACCTGAGCCTGTGTCGAGGACAGTCCTGAATCCACCTCTCTGCTGTAAGCTCGCCTGTTCTGGTAGACAGAAGGACGCTCAGAGACAGCGTTGTCCATGTTCTGATACATCTGAAAATGGAAAAGAGACAGGACACCGATTACCAGCTACTAGTGTTAAGGGGAAGGATGTCCTAAAGGAACTTTGCAGAGTTTTGTGGACTCCACCCCCTACTCCAGCTTTCTGGATTCCATCCCCTACTCCAGTGAATGGAAACTACAACTCCCAGCAGTACCAGGGAGAGAACTGCGAGGACCCAAGGGCGGAGCTAAGCAGGCATTCTGGGACATTGGGGGATAAGTAGGCAGCCATTTTCTACGGTGGTCTCTCGCTCAGGCAGTGGCTCTCTGGATGGTGTGATGGCGTGACTGAGTGCTATCAGTTAGTTTGTTACCAGAGCTCCAAGTCAGCAGAGCAGGTAAGATATTCTAGTAACCTTTCTCTCTCTTTCCCTGGGTTGTTCCTTTTCCTTTCCCCTTTTTGCAAATAAACCCATTATTGACCCTTTTATGTATCTGCAGTATAACTAAATTTTAGGTGCGTGGATGAGGCCCCACAGACAGGCAGCCCAGTTCACACCGGGGTGCCCTGTAACACTAGGAATACATGTCATGGGCCTGTATCTCAGATTATTACTTTTACTACGCCATGGTCTTAGAGGATATTCTGCATATTAACTGGCAAAACAATTTTGATCCTTTCACTAATGGAGAAATCAAGTCACAGTCAAACATTTTATCTCATCATTTCTTTCTATTGTTAGATATAAAATCTCACTCAGAAAACCCAGAACTATGCAGAAAAACCATAAACATCAGCCAAAAGAAGAAATGTGTTCATTAAACAACTAATACAGGGATACACTCTTAAGCTTTCACCTGGGCATTTCTTGACTGCATTTCTTTTTTCCAAAATGAAAACTGCTTTACCTTTTTTTTTTCTGATTATACACATTTACATAGATGACTAGAAAGAAATAAAGAAAGGACAGCACTTAAGTCATCACCTTTATAGATGGCTTTCTCTACACACAATTTCTATGTTAGAAGGTTCAGACTAATATACTGTTAGGATGTTATTTTGAATTACTAACATGTTGCTCATGTGATATGTAATATATTTTCAGCATTCAATCACCATGAGCACATATCATCTTTTAAATGGCATCCTAGGGTTCCCTAGACCATAATTAACTGTTGGATGATTTGGTTACATAAGATCAACTGAGAAGTGCATAGGTGCCCTGGTTTCTCTTGGGGCTAAATGAGGGAGAGGAATCGCTGGCTGCAGAAAAGCGTGTTCTAACTGGGATGTGTATTGCCAGGCTGCTCTGCAGGAAGCTCTCTTCCCTGCTTCTCCCCACCGTGTCTGGGAGCACTGTTGTTCCAGAGCATACCAAGGTAAGGCTTAATGTTCTATCACACCCCTAAGCCTTGCCCAAAGACACGGTTCGTTTCCTTACCTGGTAGGATGAGCTAAGGTGAACATCGGCGTCTACATTCAGTTGCTGTTTGCATTTCATTGAAATCTGTTTCTCTACTTTGCCCTTCTTATTGGACTATGATGGTTTTCTTATCACTTATGAGAGTGCTGATCTAGGGATTGTATGTTTTTCATTACCAGGCTCTCTCCCTTCCTCCGCTCCTCACTATTTATATCTTTTTATTGGTAGTTTTTTTATTGTTACAGTGTTAACTGACTGGACTATCTCCTACTCTTAATTTTTCCTTTCTAGCAAACAACAACAAAAACCTTTTCAAATCTGTCAGCACCATGACAGTTTGCTTGCACCCGTAGGGGAAAATGTCAGTGATCAGTATTTCCTGTGGAGTGGTCACAGCACTAAACATTTATGGCTAACACTGAATTCCTAACTGTCTCATGAAGCCTGGGACATAGAAACCAACGACACTTCAAACCCTACATTTTCACACCTGAACTCACCTCTGACCTCCGAGCCCTCTCCTTTTATTTGTAATTTCGCTTAAAGCACTGTCTTTCATCTACTCTCTCACAGCATTGAGGTTCCCCCTGCTCCTACTGCCAGTCAGTTTGTGGGTCAAGTTCTGATACATCAGTCTTCTTAACATCTTACTTTCCATTTCCTAAGCGATTTTTAAATGAGTATTTCTAAATGCACAATATATGCAGTCTTTCCTCAAATATACCAGTATAAAGAGATATACAAGACTTTCTTATACTTTTGAAATGTTCTCTTTTTTTTGAGGGTTTATTTACTAATGCATACAGAACTGGGGTATAGGCCAGAGGCTCAGGGGCGGTGAGAGGCTGCACCAGAGACAGAGTGGGGAGCAGAACAGGCAGATCAACGAAGTACACTGCTGAGGGGAGCAGCGGGAGGGTCAGGAGAGACCTTCTGTGCCATGTGGGTCAGCTCCCAGACGGCTGTCATGAAGCTCTCACGGAAGCGGCTGCGGCTGGCCTGAGGTGCTGTGTCCTAACCCGTTGTACCACCAGGGAGTGCCCTAAACACCTATTTTGAGTCTTAAATATATTTTGTTTGGCCCCGTGGTTGTCCCCCGTTGCACCTCTTACTACCTTCTCATGAGTGCATGTCTCCTTGTTTTATTCAAAGCACCTTCTGCTCTGGGGTTTCCCTCCTTTGTCCAATGCTAATTGCTTTCATTATCTTGGGGACTTTCTACCATTTCTTCTGCACAAAACCCTTCCTGCCTTCAAGACAGTTATACCTTACTTCTTTTTAAAAATATATAGTTGTCCTATAATTTACGGATCTGATATGAAGGCAAAGGTGATATGAGCTCAGCCCCCTTTCTTGAACCTGAAGTGCTGCTGCCCTGCTCCTCGGCTGCCCGGCCTCCATCCCACTGCCACACCTTAGCTCAGTCCATCTTTGCTCTTTGCTGTGCTCCACCAGCCCCTTAATTGATGTCCTTATTTTAAACTTCTGTTTTACCTTTGTGGTAAAAACTTTGTTTTTATGCTTTCTCTTCTTTCCTTCCATAAGCAATTGCTTAACGCTTCCTAAGTCTTAAGAATTATCTAGAAACTGCATTTATCATAGACAAACAGATGTGATCTCCAAACTACTTTCATTTATTGAAAAACCAGTCACTGTCTCCTAACTATGGGACCACATGGGTTGATGCAAAGAGGAGCAGCACATTATTCTGGACTTATGAGTCAAACCTAGTGATAGGCAGACCCACAAAGTGAAATTACCAAACAACACAATTTGAATCTCATATCGAAATACATGGAAGGTGTAACGGGGCTTCAGAAGAAAGAGTTTGAAGTCTAACCAGGGAATTTAGAGGACTCTTTCTAGAGAATAAAATATTTGACCTGGGTTTTTAAGAAAAAAATTTGCAGTAAGTTTGTCCATTCTAATAATCTTTATTGGTTTCCCATTGTGTAAACAGTGCTTCTTACATGGCACTCGGTGATCTCCCTGATTGACTCCATGTCACTGGGGTTAGTTTATATTTAAAAATATTGAGCTTCTTCTATATGCTTTCCTGCCCTTCTTACTTGGTCTTCAAGAGCCATTTTCCTTCCCTAGTACAGGATGGTACAGAAACAGATTCTATAAAAAGTCACATGACTAGCAGGAAAGATTTTGGCCAAGCATGCTGGCCAGGCCTATGTGCCCACCCCAGAGGCCAGATACGACTACGCTCAGGGCAGCGAGAGAGGGGGAGCGAGGGCCTGCTCCCCATGGGCAGAGCTGCCTGGTATGATTGCATACATAGATTGTGCCTTGTTCCAAGGTACCCAACCCAGGGCAAGTAGAAACTGAAACCCACACTGTGCTCGGCTCCCCAGCTTCTAGACTGGAGTTCACAGCACCAGCCAGAGTAAGGGGATCCTCTTGGTCCTCCTCCAAGGGAGCATCCTTTTCTGATTCACCAAAAAAATTATAGATTGTTGCCTATGGTTCTGACACTCATAGCAAAAA